GAGTCTGACTCGTAATACGGGAATTGAACATAAAACCTTGGTTTGTGGAAGAAAATGAAAATATTCCTCCTTGCCAACTCACCCGGAGGAACAACCTGGAGAAAATGGAATTAATTCTATGATGCGAGGGGGGTTTATGGGGGCAATCCCCTCCTCAGAGCAGCTGCCATCCCCAAAACCAAGGGATGGACAGGGGGGGGCAGCTCAGGGGACATCAACCCGCAGTGGCACCGACGGTGACAGAGTGACCACGCCCGGGGCTGCAGCGATGCCGGGGGGCTCCGGGGACCCCGGGAGCTGCCGGGGAGTGCAGCCAAACCCCGGCTTCCTTCAGCCCGCACGRAGCAGCTTCTGACCGCACATCCTGCCCGGCCGGGGCGCAGCGCATTGTGCAGGGYGATCCCCGGGCTCGCCCCATGGCCAGCGCCGGGAGGGGCCGGGGTGGGCACCGGGAGCTGCTGAGGGGCCGGGATGTGGAGCTGGAGCCCCGCGGGACCGGGACCGSCCCGCTGCAGCCAGGGAGAGCTCAGAGGTACCGAGGGGTTCTGTGAACGGGSCCSGGAGGAGCGCTGGGGATGGGYAATGACCCGRGGGGACAGAGGGGACAGAGGGGACAGGGGCACTGAGGGGGGCACTGCCCACTCAGGGAGAGCTGTGCCAGCACAGCCGGGAGGTTCAGAAAAAGGCACGGGGGTTTTGATAACCCCAGTGGCGGCACCGTCGGTGCCCAGCCAGGACGGGAAAGTGAAACCCAGCGGCCCCACCCCAGTGCCCTCCTCCCTCGGGCTCCCTCTTCTCCTTCTCCATGCCCAGATCCCTGTTCTGCCCTCCCTGGACTTTCCCAGGCCTTTCCTGCCCTTGTCCCACAGCTCTGCCACCGTCGTGTCCACCTCAGGGTCACCCAGCAGGRACCCCAGGCCAGACACGGGGCCCTGAGCGCTCATGGCTGTGTCCCACACAGCTGGGAACCATCGCACACGGAGCAGCTCCCACCCCCAGGATTTCCCGATGCGGCAGYTGGAGTCACTGCGCCACCAAACTCCCCGTGTTTCTCCCCAAAACCGCCCCGCCAAGGCTCCCCGGGCCGACACTTCCCCTTTTCGCCGTGTTCCTCCTCGGGGCCGGCCCCGCAGGGACTCGGAGCCCGCGGGGTGACGCCGAGCAGGGCCCCCAGGCCGGACCTGGCTGTCCCCGGAGCGGCCACCCCCATGCCGGACACGCCAGGGGAATGCCCCCTTCGGTCCCCCAGCTCTGCCCTCATCTACAGCAACGTGGGTGAGTGACATCGTGACCCCGCTGTGCCCCTGCCTGCCGCGGTGTCACCTCGGGTGGTGGCACCTTCAGGAACCCCTCTGCTGTCCCTGTCCCCCTGTAGTGCCCAGCTGTCACCCCTCGGGCTGGTGTTGGGTGTGTTTGGGGCTGGAAATAGCCGGGGGGCTGGGAATAGCCGGGGGGACTAGGAATATTCGGGAGGGGGGGATAGGAATATCCGGGGGGGCTGGAAATATCCAGAGGGCCTGGAAATATCCGAGGGGGCTAGAAATATTGGGGGGGCTGGGAATATTCGGGGGGGGGCTGAAAATATCCAGGAGGCCTGGGAATATCCGGTGGGGGGGTTGGGAATATTTGGGGGGCTGGAAATATCCGGGGGGGCAAAGAACAAAGCGCTGTGTTCCCATCCCATCCCATGGACCCCATCCAGTCGTATCCCACCCCATGGATCCCATCCCATCTCATCCCATCCCATCCCATCCCATGGACTCCATCCCATCCTATCCCATCCCATCCCATCCTTCTGTCCCCTGTCCTGGCCACCCTGTCACATCTGTCCCTCCCTCCCCAGGGGAGCTGCGGGCCCACCTCGTYCCCCGCAAGGCCAGCCGAGGGGAAGGCACCGGGAGACCCCTCCCTCAGGCCGACCCGGACCCCCGGCCTCCCCCGCTGCCCAAAAAGCAGCTCCAGCGAGCCGAGTCCCTCCCGGAGCCGGGATCATCGCACCGCTGCCGTAGCGAGCCCGAGCCGCGGGCTGGCAGCGTCCTCTACAGCATCCCCCCGGYCCAGCCGCGGCACGGGGAGGGGGCTGCCCCGCTGGACAGACCCTCCTGGGCACCCAAGAAACCCCTGAGCAAATCCCAAAGCCTGGGGGAGCCGCCGGCCTGGAGCAGCCCCCAGAGAGCCAGCYTGAAGGAGCTGAATTTCGGGACAGCGGACGGGGAGCTGGGGCAGCTCCTGGAGAGCCCGGCCGGGCTCTGTGGGGTGGTTTTGGGGTGCCARGAGGCCGCCCTKGCCCGGCTGTCGGCTCGCATGCAGRAGGAGCTGCTGGGGCCCGAGGACAAGCAGCAGCTGCTGCAGGTGGAGCTGGCGGGGAAGGGCTGGGGAGCCCTCGGCCTCCTGGACCCCCGGCCCTGCTGCCAGAGCGGGGACGCCTGGTACTTCAGGGTGGGCTTCACCTTCGAGCACAGAGAGCTGCAGTTCGCAGCCAAGGTAAGGAGGGAATCGGGGAAAAACAAACAAACAAACAAACAAACAAAAATAATAAAAAAAAAACAACCCGGGTGGTGCAGAGGGAGCCGGCTCCTGCAGGTCCGGGAGCGTCGGCTTTTCCGCGGAACGGAACACGAGCCGCGGCCACTTCCCCTTTCCGCGGCCACTTCTGCATCTGCTGAACGAGCCGGCGCTGCTGGAGGGGGCTGGGTGACGGGGGGACAGTTCCCGTGGGGCCGAGGGACACGGTGTGGCACAGCTGGGGACATGTCCTGGGAGCTCCGAGGGGCTGGAGCGGAGCTGGTGGAGAGGAGAGGGGTCGGAGCCACCCCCGCAGCTCCGCAGCTCAGCTGGGGCTGCACCACCCCGCACGTCCCAGTTCCTGCTCGAAACCACCCATGGCTCTGTCTCTGGGTTCAGAGGGACCCACATGTGGGTCAGAGCAGGGCTGGTGGCACCCCATGGCTCTGTCCCGTGTCCCCGCAGGTCCCCAAGCCGTGCTGCTCCAACCTGGGCGCGCAGAGCTCGCTGGGGACGCACTGCAGCATCCARCGCCTGCTCGGCCGCTTCACCGACCGCCTCCCTCGGGAGCTGCTGCTCCCGGGAATCCCTGAGAAACACAGTCGGGACCATTCCAGCGAGGAGCCGGCCTGTCCTGCCCCTCAGCCCGTCGTGCAGGTTCTCCTTTGTGCCGAGGTCCCCCAGCAGACCCTGGCAGAGTTCGTGAAGAGCTCCCACGCTTTGCACAGGAGCAGCCCCGGGCACTACGAGCGCCTGAGCTGCCTCCTGCTCCTGCAGCTCTGCATGGGACTGGAGCACCTACGGGGGCAGAATGTGGCCCAGGGCGACCTGTGCCCCGAGAACCTGCTGCTGGTGCAGTGCCCGTGTCCCTCCCGGAGCCAGCAGGGCCAGAAGGAGCCGCTGGGGCTGTCCCTTCCCCGGCTGCTCATCAGCAGCTTTTTCAAGGTGCAGGAGAGGCAAAGACCTTGCTCCAGCAGCCAGGAGCGGGACTGGAGCCAGGGAGCGGCCGCAGCCTCCCCTCCGGCAGCGGCCGAGCTGAACGTGGGCCGGCTGATCTTTCAGATCTTGCATGTGGACATCTCTCTGGAGAACATCCTGGGCTTCAGCAGCGCCAGGCTCCCCGAAATCCCCTCGCTGTCCATTTACTCGGCGGGGCTGCGGCGCCTGGCCGCGCTGCTGCTGCACAGGGATCCTGGCAGGAGGGTGACCATCGAGCAGGCCAGGGCTGTGCTGCAGGTGCTGCTTTGGGGACCACGACAGCAGCTCTTTGCCACCAGCGGCAGGAGCCTGGCGCTGCTGCGGGGCTGGCTGCAGCTCAAGAGGGCTCTGCTGCTGCTGGGCTTTGCGGAGAGCTGGGCTGGGCARGGAGGGAGCCCCGGACTGGAGGAGTGGCTGTGCTGTCAGTACTTTCAGGGGGTCACTGAACACGCCCTTTTCCAGGTCACTCAGGTGCTCTACGCTCCCTAAACCAACCCTTGGGTTCAGCTCTCCTCAAAGCCAAGAGCCCACGAGGAGCTGGATKAATCTGTCCTGTCCACTGAGAGAATTTTGAAACAAAATTATTTYTGTAAGGCCCTTTCCAAGACAAGGAAGCCTGGAAAGACAGGCTTTATAAWTATATAAATAAACCTCTACAGATCAGTGTTTACAGAGCAGGTATTTGTTTATTGCAGCGCTGGAGGTGAGGGGGATTTTKTCRCTKAACTCAYYCACCTTTGTCCAGTGTCGTGKTTTATTTATACAAAAAGTACTGTTTAATATTGCTGTGTCAGCATAACTTCATCATATATGTACTGGAACTAATTTACATAGGATTACTTCATGATTAAAAGTCATTTTTTCTGCACTGCACTTGTGCTTCTCCAATTTGGGGGGTCTTGGGGGTTTTCTTCGACCAAGGCTCAAGATCTTCCTCACATCTGAAATTTTTAACTTTTCCTTCAGAGTACGTACAGTTATGGTGTTCTTTGGAYTTTCTGAAWCTAACTGTTCTAAATTCTCCATCTCRTGGCTAATTGGCTTTACATTTGCCAATTCCTCATTAGTGCATCTTGTTGTTTCCCAATTACCTACATTCATTTGTTTTTCAAGCTTATCCACCTAGTGTGTTTTTGCTTACTTTAGCAATTAGTTAACTCCATTAATTAACTCTATATTGTATACAAAACTATGCATCAGGTTATAGAAGTATTAAAAKCTATARTYCAGGTAATATAAATATTAAAATGTTATAATTCATTTCACACAGGTATTTTATAAATCAAGATATGTTAGCGTCTTGTAATTTTGACCCAAGTTATGGCATCACTAAACCATTCCATAGAACCATTCCAAACCATGGTTCTGTGACAGCCACTGGTTCCTGAGAAACCCAAGAAAAAAAAATGGAAAAACTCTGCAAAACAAACCCACTTCCCCCACCCCAAAGCCCATAAATTATGGATTTCAGACCAAATTCCCAAACACAGGGTGTGGGTTTACACCCTCAAACAATTTTTGATTCATACTCCGGGTCTGGTTTATCAGAGCATCGGAGGAAAGATAGGTGGATGGGAGCCCCAAACACCAATTTAGCAGCTGATGATCTCAAGTAAAGTTCGTGGGGTTCAGACTTTGCATAAAACCTCCCCAGACCCCTCCCGGGATGAGAATTTTGCTTTTTTAAAAAACACTCAAAGCCACCCATCACTGCTCACCCTTCTCAGCAAAGGAGAAACACAACAGCTCCTTCAGCCTGCGCTTCCCAGAGACAATTTGTGACACGGTCACCAATAAAAATGGCATTTTAAAGAGAAAAATACAGCTTCAATAAAACCTGGAGCTGAGCCTCTCAAAGCCTGCTCTGAGAGCTTTGCCAGCTTTACACGCTGTGGGGATGGATGCTGAGGGACCAGCACAGCGAAGGCCCTGCTCAGGTCATTTAAATTATTCCTCAGTAATTATTAATCCGYTCACAGGCAGCTAGATCAGGTAGCAGGGAAAATTTCTTCACTGAAAGCGTGCCCAGGCATCAGCACAGGTTTTCCAGGGTAGTAGTGGAGTCACCAGCTCTGGAAGTGTTCAAAGAATGCTTTTTGGGATGTGGCACTGGGGGATSTGGCTCAGCAGCAATGGGGTAATGGGCTGAGCTCAGTGATCCTGGAAGGTTTTTCTAACCCAAACAAATCCCTGATTCAGTGAMCCCATTACCTGACCYSGGSMWG